TACTGCATTTTCACTTGACCTCCAAATGCGAAAACAAGCTCAACGATGAAGCTTGTTTAACATCCAGACATCTGGGTCATTTTTGATAACCTATTTGTTCCTCGTTAAATCAAGTAACTAGAGTTAAAAAGCCAGAAATTGTACTCAGTTAAGAGCAGTGTTACAAAAATGGTTAAGAAAGGTAAACTAGGTTCCAGTTACAATTACTCATGTAAATGTAACTGGTATCTACTCATGGCGTCAGGGCAGGAAAAGCTAAAAGAAAATATGAGGAGGAACAGAGAAAATTTAAATTTATATGGAAGGAATTGTGTATTTTATATGACACAAATAAGAAACACATCTGCTTGCTATGCCAATCACATTATAGAGTTCAAATCTACAGCCCCATTTCTTACAGCTTGGTTCAAAGGCAAGAAAGGTTGGGATCTGAGGTCATATTTTGGTTAAAGCACTTTTTATGCCAAGAAATAAGATAGATTAACATGAAAATATATAAAAAATGTTGGCTTTTGCCGTAAAATATTTTTTATTAAAAATGTGGGATTCTCTTAACTGCTGCTTCCATTTTTTTGGTTTATGATGCTGAACCGGTCGGTCGACACACTTTAAAGTTTCTAATTAACACAGCCTTTATTCAAACATTTTCATCCAATATTTCTAGCACTAGTTCCACCTTTAAAATGTGGTGTTCCCCTCTCTGGCTGTTAAATGCAACACCGGCCCAAAGAAGAGTCTACCGGTGTTAGTGATCTGTTTACTGTGTTTCTGGCCTTTGACAACATAACAATATCCACAAAAACTGATGAGGGCAACAGTCTCTCGTTTTTGTACAACCTACATGACTCCATTCATCAGTTCACATTGTCAATAGAGATCACAGCTGCCATATTGTCTTTAGACCTATATACTCACTAGGTTATTAATTGGTGTGAATCGTCTCGTTGAGCATTTTTAATCCAGCCATTTTAAGCAAGGGAAACCTACATTACAACTAGGGCTGGGTGTTTTCGCCAAAGTCCTGAATCGATACGATTTGGATTCATACAGTTCTAAATCGATTAATTTCGATTCAATCTGTTTTTACAATTATGAAAGTGGTACAACTGTGTTTCAAAACACTGATGTATTTTATTTTTTCCTGTCATATTACGGTAAACACAAAGTGCAAACTTGTAAATCGGAAAGTTTAAACTTGAGATGTGAACAAAACTGTCTCAAAAGTGCAAACTTGTTTGTGAAAAGTAAAAAAAGGCCTCACTCGAGCAAACAGACGTGACACAGCGGGGACACAGCGGACATGCATGAGCTGCATTATCTCCACTGCACAAACCATATTTGCAGCGTTGTCTGTAACAACTACAGGGTGTTTGCTGGTCAGCCCCCATTTGTTAATGTCTTCAATCAACCTATTAGCTATATTTGCAGCTGTCTGGCCTGAAGTATTTTGAGTGCATCTTTGCTGCTCATTTGAATGTGAACGTCACTCACATCACTATAAAACTAACCAATCTCATTCCCTAGACATCGATCTTGCAAAAATGTAAAGGAATCGATTAAAAATCGATTGAATCGATTTTTTTGCCCAGCCCTAATTACAACTCAGTTATGATTTTAGGTTTCACATATCTGCATTTAGTATAAATGACTTGGGCTTAACAGAACTATAAAATGCTTTTCATTAATTTTTATTTTGAGGCACAAGTGGCCTTTATTTCCAAAGTATCCTGACAGGAAATGGGTTGTGGGGAGAAGGAAGACATGCAGGAAGCAAAAGTCTTTCCAGGCCTTTATACTGAACAACTGTCACACACTCTACCTCTATGCGCCGGTCTGGGAAACCATTTAAATCTTATCACATCTACTTAAGTTTTTCTGCTTGTTTCAGTCACTTCCTTTTCCTCTTCCAACATTTTTTTGACTTGTTGAATTGCATCTTAATAGCAGTATTTGGAGTAACAAGAACAAACAACTCCCTAATCTCAGTTTGCATTACTGGTGTGAATAACTGGGTTCATCCATGTTTTACTTCTCAACTGAGGCACCTCAGCCTGGGTTCAAATTGAACAAGCAGTTGTGACAAAACTTTAGTTAGATTTTTATTTACATTCTGCAAGCCTTGTAAAGAAACAATAGACAAATAACCCTTTCTTGAAGAAAACAACTAATTCTTGGTGTGATGCAGATCATTATGTGGGAGAAACTTCTTCTAGTTTATGGAGGCTTCAGAAGTTGGGCAGATAAGGGTGTACACAAGGTGGAAGACCTTTATAAAGATGGCAATCCTCTTACATTTGATCAGTTTTGTCAAACAAACAATATCCTCCTTAAAAACATTTTTTTAAGAATTTTTAAGTTAATCTCATCATGCCTAAGTATAAACAAATTTTATTTGAATCACCATTATCATACCTGGAGAGTATTATACTGCAGAATCTAGAGGGAAGAGGTCATATTTCTCTATTTTATGAAGCCCTTCTAGCGTATGAGAAGGAATCCAGCACTGAGGAGGAGGCAGACTGTAAAAATGCATGTTTCAAAGCAGAAAAGCACAATTAACACAAGGATGAAGCACCTCCGATATAAATGGTTGATGAGGACTAGGTTAACTCTGGTCAAATTAAATGAAAGATAGTTGTAAAACATGTTTAGATGGGAAAGCCACATTTTTCCATTGTGTATGGATTGTGTAAATACGTATATCTGCTGAGGCAGAACATGTCCATGTAAGTTATATATCCAGAGAATCATGATTTTTTTATTACTGAAAGAAAATGTATGTTCCCACCAGTAAAATGTGGTAAAAACAGATGTATCGTACTGGAACAACTTATCATCAAAGGAAACTTCTGGTCAATATTGACTGATCTCCTGTGACATAATAAAGGGAATAGATCCATTTTTTTTTTTTTTTAAATCAGTTGCTGTTTGTTTCATTTCTTCAATTTCTATTCAGTTATTTGTATTTTTCTAATATGGTGCCTATATTGTTTAATATAAACCTTGCATTAACAACAAAAATTAAAGAAATCACTTGAGTAATAATGATTTATCACACTTTGCAGAAATTAATCTCTATGCATTGCATTAATACTTATAAAGAAACAAAGCCAAATTGAGAAATAAAGTATGCTACTTCCTTTTATTTGAGATCCTCTGCAGAAAACTTAGCAACAGTTAAATTAAACAGTAGATCTGTATTATAGTCTCACATACATTGTAGAGGATTTAGGCTCATCCATTTTTATTAGATTGCTTTACATGATCAGCCAGGTGGCGTCATCTTTGACATTCTTTGTTACAGAAGGGGTAAATAAAAGGCAAGTTGTATAGGTATAACTATACAACAATCCCATGTCATAATCCCCCACCACCATGCTTGAAAGGTGGTATGGTTTATTATATTTTGGGGTGCTTTGTTGGGTCTCCATCTCTAGTTTGGGGACATCCCTCCATAGGTTCATGGACAGAGCAGCAAACTGACAGCTAATGATGTGATCAACTTCATGAAGTGAGGCTTATCCGGCTGCTACTTGTCTTAAATTCAACTGATGCGTCAAAGTAATACCTGTTCACAGCCTTTCTCTTTTGGTTTCATCTCATGTGGACGCTGTTGGGTCTTTTGAGGTTAGATTTAATTATTTCTATAAACATTATCAGAGCATTTTTATAACAGGAAAACTATGTTATATCCTTTCTGCAGCATAACAACCTCATAGTTGCTTGTTTAGTGGTCATATTGATATAAACGAAGGTCTGTTTTAAAGTGGTCAGAGAGGACAGGGTTGTAATTAAATACTGTTATTTCTTTACATTCAATGCCATGCTCCAAAGTATGAAGATGAGAATGTTTAGGACTATTCACATTTTTGAACAAAGCCAATAGTATCTAATTCTACTGACAATTGCTCAGTAGAAAAGTGCAGCAAAAAATCTTTTTTTGCAGAACATCACTTTATTACTGATGTTCTGCAAAAAAAAAAAAAAAACCTGATTAGTGCCCAACAGCTGCGATTTTTTCTGAAGGCAAGTACCGCAAATGTCACCCTACATCAATGCTTTTCGCAGCATGAAATTGGCTGCATGTTGTCACAGATTTACACTAAATGAACAGTGCCTTAAAACAGAAATTAAATTTTAACAAGATGAAACCATAGGTTGTCCTTATATAGGAGAAATTATGCTATAAAAAATTTTTTGGAAAAGAGGATCTTATTAGGGGACTTGAACATTTTCAATATTTTTTATATTAAGAATCTGTGAACAATAAACAGCATTCAGCTCTTATTCCCATCTGAGATATGAACTCGGCTCAATTCCACTTAAGTGGATATGCAAATTCAGCTTTAGCTTTTTAGCACTGCACTACAAAAAATACAAGAGCATGTCCAGATACTCATAGGACTAATACCAGAAACTTAAAGCTATTGAATGTTTATAGAAAAATCTTTATTTGAACCAACCTGCAATCTTTGTGCTTACCTCCAACAGGCACACGGATTCAAGAACTGATTAATGTGGTACAGGAATGTTTCTGTTTTTTCTAAATTCTGGGAACCATCCGTCACCTAGACAGTTGTGTACAGGTCCAACACATTCATTTGTCATGTACTTGGTAATAAATCTTGTGTAACTTAAATTTTACAAGAAGTCCCAAATATCCTTTCACAGGAGAGTTTGAGCAACATGCCTTGCCTTATAAACCTTCACGTTCTAAAGAAACCAATGAGGAAAGATGCATTCTTTGTTAAACTGCAGCTTTTTTATATATATATATATATATATATATATATATATATATATATGTATTTGAATTAAAATTCATTTTAAACACATTTGAATTGTCTTTTTTTCTCACGCTTCACATAATTCTATTTTTCCTGAAACATTTTCTTTGAAGTTAGGGAGCACCTTCCTAAACTTCTAATTTTACTCCTAAATAATTTTGATGGATAAAGATTTTTTTGAAATATAAAAAAAAAAAAAACAATGATAGCATGTTGAAAACAATCTTTACTGCCTTCCATACAGTAAAAAATAAAGAGTGTCAGTAACAGTATATCGAGATCAGGTGCAACAAAAGCTTTGCAGTCATAATTTCTTTTAAAATAATAAAAAATAAGAAGATCAAGAGAGAAAACAAAATTAAACAGCAGCACGCCTTAAAGATTGAGAGAAGTATGGTAAATCTCTGGGAGCAGGAGAGAAACTAAAACATGGCTTCTAATAATAACAACGGCTCCTTCTTAGATTGTGGCGGCTGCTGCGTGTTTCCGACTCTGAGACATATTTAAAATCCCACCACCTGCTTGAAAGCAAGCTTTAGTTTTCTGCCTGTTATCTTTCAGCTGCTTCACATCCATCAACATTCAAGGCTGCTACACCCCTGCTCCTGTCTTTGGTTTCACTCAGTGACAGTTTCTCAACACCCCTGCTTCCCCTGAAAAGTGAACAGCCAGTAGCAGCCTCCAATAAAATAATCCCGCAGCCATAGCTTTCTTTTTACCATTAGCACCTCTTTTCTTCTAGGTTCATATAAAGTATTCCTTCTTTTCACTTGCAGCCTGGTTTCCAAAATCCTCGTCGGGATCCTCTCCTGGGGCCAGCTCCCCCGTCGTCCTGTAGTCGCCTTTGTTGTGGCACAGATACCGGTACAGCAGGAACGCGAAAACAGCGAACGTCAGCAGGATGATGACTATCACCACTGAAATAAAAGAGTGAATTTAGAACCCAACCATATCCTCAAAGTGATAAAAGAAAGTAACTGGAAAGAGTAAACTGATACCAGCAATTAGTGCACTGTCTGAACTTGCAGGGGCGACTGTTGTTACCACTGTGGGAAGAAAATCAAAACTGATTTTTAAAACAAAAATTAGCCACAAAAAAGATAAATAATTTGACTGTTGGTAGGAGATGCAAAGAAATTATTGGAAAAGTTTAGAGGAGGGGAACAATTAGGATGTATGAGACAATGGGGCGATTCACAACGAGGGAATCCTGACAGATGTCAGAGCTTTAAGCACCGGCACACATGGACAAAACCCAAAAATGGGCTACAAATGCTATAAACCTTCTGTAAAGAAAATCCTGAACAACGCCAGAATTGTCTTATCTGGGCTAAGCAAAAAATAAAATAAATAAATAAAATACTGCAGTGCTGCTCAATGGTCTAAAGTCCTTTTTTCCATTCCGTAAAAGTTCAGAAAAAAATCCACTGGACTTGGTTTCCAAGATTTAAAGACATTTCGCCACCTCTCCAGGAAGCTTTCTTTTTCCATTGAAATTAAGGTTAGCATTTCCTTTCTAATCAAGCACCCAGAGTCTAAAGGGAGGGTGGAGTCACGCAAAATCTAAGTTGGTCAAATGTCAATCAGTGAAGGTTTGGTAGCCATGTGATGTGCTAGTGTTACTCCATTTTTTTTTTTTTTTTACTGTTCATCTGCAAGGAAATGTTGAAGCCAATGCTTCTCTCTAAATTTCATTTTCATTTTATGGCACCAGTACTTGCTTTCACCAGCAGTAACACCCGGTCTATTGGCCTTAGTATGAATTACCAGACCAATGAATGTCCAGTAGACAGGTCTAGTTCGAACTCCCTAGTAAACCTACAGAACATCATCAAGGAAGGTGACAAACACAAGACCCAACAATACAGAAGAGCTGAAGGCTGTTATTCACACAACCAGTCACAGCATGATCTCCTCCATCTCACTCTGAACTAAAAACCGTCCACCAACCACTAAGAGCATAAACTGCAGACTACATCAACATGCTATCAATAAAGATCACATCTCTGTGAGGAAATAATTTCATTGATTGTAAATATTTTAATTTAAATAAACCAACAGATGCTATTAGTGGCTGAAAACCATAATCATTTAGATGTAAACTTGAACTATATCACTTTGTTGTACTGCTAAAAAGTAAGGTAGCTCATTCTTCTTCTACTGTATTATCAAGAAAAGAAAAAGAACCAACATTAGACTATTAAAAAAAAAAAAAAAAAAAAAAATTCTGGAGTGAAGGTGTTACCCTGAAAGACGGTGGTGTCTGCCGGCGGAAATGACGTCGACTCAACAGCCGAATCTGACCAAAGATAAAATATGTTAATAAAACAGAACAAACTACAAGGCCGTGAAATCAGAACTAGTTTGCTTAGATTCTGCTCAAAAGAAAAAGAACCAACATTAGACTATTAAAAAAAAAAAAAAAAAGAATTCAGGAGTGAAGGTGTTACCCTGAAAGACGGTGGTGTCTGCCGGCGGAAATGACGTCGACTCAACAGCCGAATCTGACCAAAGATAAAATATATTAATAAAACAGAACAAACTACAAGGCCGTGAAATCAGAACTAGTTTGCTTAGATTCTGCTCAAAAGAAGAAGCAGTACTTTAGTGACACATCTGATTAAAAGACACTCACTTCTCATCATGGTTTTGTCGGTAAGCATGATTGTCGAGTTCAGATCTGTACCTGGGAGATAAAAATGCTCATTTAAAACATCACAAAATCAATAAACAAAAACACATTTAGTTGAGGCTAAAGGAATCAGATCATTTTTGGAGCATTTTTAACCCATCATTCATCTTGAGAAACTATGGTGTAAAGGCTTTAAGAGGAGAAAAGAAAAAAAGAAAAATCAGCTTAAAATGTCTTCATTTTTGTTATACTGATGTATTTGAACCAGAGTTGAACGATATAAAACCTAAAACCTTTCATAGATATCTGCTCATTACACAGATTTACAGACCGTTATGGTGATCGGCTGAATTCAGTTTATATACCTAATGCTTTCAGTAGGTGTCAGACTGGCTCCAATCTTATTCATTGTTATTTAATATTCACAAGTACTTTAAATGAAAGGAGCTGGAAATGAAGGAAATATCTAAAACTATACTTATCAATCAACATTTACATTTTTGCTGCTAAATTACATGATGGAAATTTAATAGTTATGTTTCCAAAGAGTTCTACATTAAATATGCATTGTATAAAAATCCATATAAGTTTTACATCACGAAACTTGTTCAATTTAAGTTGTTCTCAAATGTGATTCAGGGAAATTAGTCAGAGAACAAATTTCATTGTCTTCTCTGCTCTATTCTACTTGTTCTTATCCGTTTTAAGGCTAATTAGTTAGTCTGTTTGACACTTCATGTCATTTTAAAGTTAAGCATTTATCTGTTTATCTTTTGGATCTTTTCAGTCTTTGTTTTATATACTGGAGTCTTTAGTATAAGAGTTTATATGAATTACACTTTTTAAACCTCTAATAGCATTAACTTTTACCCATGTGATCGTTTCATCATCTAATGTACCATGAATGTCCTTCTTAAAAGGTTTTTAAGCAGCACCACTTTTAAATTTAGCCTTAAATAGAGAACACTTTTTGATCTACATAAAAACAGCTATAGTTATAGACAAGTGTCATTAAAATTAGAATGGGCTCTCTTACAATCTGTATTAAAGGCATTTGTAAACATAAACCATGTTAATCCAAGGACTCCGAGCAGTCCAGCTTTGCTTATGTCTTGAGTTCATACATCCTCAAAATACTTCTTTAAAAATAAAAATAAAAAACAAAAGAAAAATGGCAGGTATAATCAAGGAAAACTTTCCAATATGTACTTCAATTAATCAAAATGTAGACTTACTATTCATTGTGAATGGTGGGTCTGTTTGGCTACCTGAAAGAAAGGAACAGATGATGAAAACAGTCGTTTCACCGATAGCTCCCTTTGATGCTTTGGGTAAAGCAGGTTTTTATTTTGAAAAATAAAACAAAGTTTGTCAGATTTATAATCTGACTGTATATTTTGATATACCAATTAGCCGAACACTTGATAAAAGTGTTCTGTTTGTAAAGATTTCATTTTTGGAAAATAAAGTTTTGTTTTTCCCCACCAACCTATGAGTGCTAATAGGATATAAACTAACTGACATTGTGATATCACTGGCTGCAAACATTTAGTTTGTTCTACTTTCATTCAAAACAAGCATGTTTCACAGCGTGAATTTTGTTGCCCTTTAAATTAATAAAGTAAAATGTAAAATTTGGTAGGGGAAAAAAATAAAATCATAGATCAAATTTTCAGGTCATAAAAGGCGTCAGATTTTCACCAATGTGCAGATGCAGCCTCACTTTTTTTATTCTTATAAAATAGAGACTTTTAGAGTTATTTGTTTTCTTCACCACCATCAGACACGACCAAAAGTTAATAGTTTTGTATTTGTTTTGTTGTATATGTTTTTAGTTTTTTTTTTAAATCCTTTTATTCTTAGTACACATCCATGCTGTTAAGTATTAGCTTTTGACATGCAGTCCCTGTTTGAAGACCCTTAATTATACATCATTTGCTTTTAGGCTAAATTTTTGCATTACACAAGACTGTTACTTTAATAACTTAACAGCAATGCACATTTTATAATTATATTCATTAAAACAAACAAAAAAAAACACATGTATATAAGATCTTAAGCATTATGATACATTACTAAAAAGTTCTTCTGACTTTTTCCTTTTCACTGAAGCTTTCCTCCCTCCAACCTTTTCTCCCATCTTTGCCTTTCCGCTCTGAGGCATTCCTCTTTTAACAGAGTTTCGATGTGCATTTCCTTTGTTTATTTTATGAGATTTCTTGCTTCTTCTCCATCTAGATGCTGCCAAGATACAAGTTCCTAAAACTAAACAGCATAAAGTCCAAGCTGTGTGTGGTGACTATGAAGTTGGACTGATTGCAACGAATGATAGAGGCTTAGTAGTGAATGATAGGTTTAGTAGTGAACGATAGCAGTGAATGATAGGTTTGGTTACATGTTGTCATGCCATTTTCATTTGGCTAAAGCCATTGGAGATGCATTGTCTGCAAGCGGTGAGGTAGTCTACACTGGTAGTTTGTGTACTCTGTGCATCCATCATAATTTAAGCCAAATCAACGTGACATAGCAGTGAAATAAGAGTAACTGAAGGCACACCCCATCCCCAAGGGGGAAACAATAAACTGAACTTCTTGTTTATCCATGGTAATAAGATTACAGTTGATGTTATTTGTTTTGATCAAGCAGATATATTTTCTAGCCTCCATTAAAAAGCAAAGGTGGTTTTTATTTCACCACAGTTAGAGAGTCTGGCGGTGGTGACAGACACATAATATATGGGTTGTTTGCATTAGCCATCTGTTTTTTTTTCTCAATTGCTAGGCACCTCTGATCTCTTTTTATGACATATTCATTTATGCCATTGTACTATATTTACACAAACGATAAGGTGTTCACTGGTTAAGGTTGTGAAAAGGTTGGGAAAAGAAGAAAGACTGAGTGATCTTGATGCATTAAGTAGAGTTGAAGGTTTGAAAATTAGGACCCAAGGAATGTAGTTGACCTTGTGTTTGCCTGTATTTAAAGCTTTTTATAAAGATCTCACATTAAAAAAATACTAAATATTGTTCTAAACTTTAGTTTGTGGATTTTTATAATACTTCAATATACCATTTCATGTAGTAAATATATTATGTTATGCAATTACTTAGATCTCTTCAAGTACGGTAATTAGATAAGATCTCTCCTACCAGGAAAACCAATTTTATAAACAGTCGGTCAGCATATAACCATTAAAGCCATATTAGCTTTTAGCCACTAGGGGTGCTAGACCTGTAACTTCCAGCTTTAGTGCCCATATAAATATATGGAGATAAATTTGTCTTATTACTATTCACTCAAAGGAAAAAGATCCAAAAACGGACTCTTTCCCCGTGCAATTTTATTTTGTATTTTAACCCAGAGCAGATGTGTTTTACTGTGTATCCGCATCCCTCTTCCTGTCAGACTCATGACATTGCTGCTGAATTTCTGCTTAGTCTGACTAAAATAGGCCTTGGGTCCATCTCAGTCAGAGCTATGCAAGTCCCCTTGCGTAAAACCATGTTGGGTGTGATCATCCCCATTTACTTTCAATGAGCGCTGAAGGCCACAACCTCGCTCGACACAATTTACGTTTGGATCAGAAGCAAAATCGGATTCAGTGTGTTCTGGATTTTACACAGGTGAAAATTTCAAAAGAAAAAAAGAACAGCTCGCCAAGGGCTCCGGATGAGTGATTAAAGGTATAGAGGATGATCTTTTATTTCCAGGTGGATCACCTAAATAAGTGGTCCTCCTAACTGTCAATTCTTCTGAAGATATTTTTTACGTAAGGCCGTCCTACGTGTTAGCTATCTTTTTCTGCTCATGCGCACTTCCAGGCCTTTATGTGTAGTGAGCTACGGTTTCAGACAGTCATTGAAGCTCACCTTTCACACTGCTGGTCTTTGAAAATGGCTGAGGGTCGTAAGAAAGAAAGTGTCTACAGAGTGTATGAGAAGAAAACTAAATGCCAATTTAAACTTCTGACGCATAGCCTCTACAACCGTCAAATCTGTCTCTGTGCGTGACCACGCCCCCAAGCAGAGGCTCTGCAACCACGTCGCATACCTCAAAAAAATCCTCACCACACGCCAGACGGTAGCAAACCAGCGCAGACCTCAAGCTGAAGTGCGCAGACAAAAAGCAGCTGTGATTGGTGCATGGTATGCTTTTTCGGCTGTCTGTGTGGTTGTCGTTCTCGATTCAGTGCCGGGGCGCACCATTTTTAAAAATCGAGAAGTAATAACAACAATGGATAACCACGACAAAAAGTTGATCGAGGAGGTTCGGAAGTACAACCACTTGTGCGACGCCTTGGACATGTTTTGGAAAGTAAACACTCCCGCAGGTGCCGCCAAAGCAGCTCTCGTGAACATCCGCTGAAGTTCTCGCAAGTTCTCGAATAGGCTCCCCCTAGCGCTTTGGCGGGAAACTGCTGTGCGTCCCTAGAAATTCGAGACCGACGTTGCAGAGACATACCAGCAAAACTGGTTTGCGACCAGACGCAAGCGACATTTGATGTTTGTGGTTGCAGAAGTATAACCCGCCCTTAAGGCAGATCAGAATGTTTTGCATGGAGAGCTCTCCTCACAAAGCATTATGGGATTTGCTGTCACAGCGGCCCACTGTTGCCATAGGCTATCGCTACCTCACAGCAGCGACTAATAGAGGAGGAGTTACATGACCAACATAGTAAAGATCAGTGATCATCTATCCAAACGGTAAGCTAACGAGTTCGCTATAAAGTCAACTATATAGTTAGTCCCTGCTCTATATAGTGATTGAGGGAGAGAGCGAATCTTTTAAAATATTTGCGAAAATCCTCCACTAACCTTTAAATATATCTCCATCAAACCTTTGATCAAAGGTTTATGCAAAGTTGCTTTAAATTGGTAAAAAAAAAAAAAAAAACTATAAAAACTTTACATATTTATTCATGTAATAGCATGCTTTGTTTTATGAGTGAAAATGTTATTTCCAGCAGAAATGTGAGGTGTTTTTGCCAAACTTTTAAGAGCTCCTGGAATTCATTCCTTATTAGGAGTATTAGAGATATTTGTAAACATAAACCATGTAAATCCAATGAGTACACCTTTGGGCATGTCTTCTGTAGCTAAGATCAACATTTATACTTCCTAAGATTACTTTACAATTAAAATGGCAAATATCTTAAAAAAATATTCCAATATGTGCTTAAATTAATCAAAATGTAGACTTACTATTCATTGTGAATGGTGGGTCTGTTTGGCTACCTGAAAGAAAGGAACACATTATGATTATAATAACAGCTTTACTAACAGCTTTTTGGCATTTTTTTCCTAACAGCTTCGACTGTTCCAACGACATAAACATTTCCTGCTTCACTACCAGCACACTTCACTATCCAGATGAACTTCTCTGACCTTTCAAAGAGAACCAAACCTCCACATTTAATTACTTTCACTCCTCTCAGTTCACTTGTTTAAACACAGAGCGGATTATCCTCCTTATTAAAGCCCGGTTCTCAGATAGAGCCGTCCCGCTCCCCCATCCAGCCGTCCATCAACCATTGTTTCACCGCAGCCGTTGTTTGGGCTTACCTGAGGGCGCAGCAGCTGTTCAACAATCGACACAGAACCTCAACAATGGCCTCTACAGGCTAGCTTTCTGACAGAGGATAAACGTAACACTCGTTCGTATTTCCCCAAGTTTGAGGTTTTAAATCTCGCTGACTCGGCTGGGAAAAACTAAACTGCGTGAGTGAAATACGGTAAGAGCAAAAAGTTTGAGAAGAGACTCGTGAGTCAGGAGGGAGGGGCACGCTCCTCTGTGCGGCCGCCCCTCCCTTCCTCGTCATTTTGACTCAAAGATCTTCTATAAAACAGATGCATTACTCTGGCCCTACAAGTGAGCATGAAGTAGCACTACTCCACCATTATCATTTCTAAGGATCTATTTCCTGATGGCTGTTTACAGACAGACAGACAGACAGACAGACAGACAGACAGACAGACAGACAGACAGA